AGGCTCGTGACCGTCGGCGAACTCCTTCACTGGGTTTGGAAGGCGCGACCCTTGCCCCGCTGTTGGCGAGATCTGATGGCGGGTCCCTGCCTGCAGGCGCGCAGCCACTCCGACCGCCGGCATCGTCATTGGCCTGCAATCCCCATGCAGACATCGGCATAGGCTTCATTTCGCCGCAAGCATTTCATCTTGTAAATAACCCTGGGGTAGATGGACGCGTATTGTGTTCAGACGTGAGCGGGAATGTGAGCGTGAACACTCGCACAGACACCGACGCCTTTCACCAAGTACACAATGCGCGTCTGAGGCACCTTGTTCGCAGCGTCATCACAACACGCCCGCCTGCTCACGCCTGCTCACGGCTATGGCGACGGCCATGTTTTCAGGCTTCAACTCGTCCGATCGCCGCAAGAAGGTCGTCTATGGCAAATCATCCCGTTTATCTGCTGTTCCGCCACCTGCACCCGACGCCAGCGACGATGCGCCTCCGTCTCCAGATCGACCCCGAAAACAGTCCGCAGCTTCTCATCGAGCATTGGAAGATATTGGGGGGACAACAAAGAGCGCGGACAGCCTGGGGAACAGCTTGGGGAACTCACGAGCAAAAACGGACCATGTCGACATTTTCGACATACCCGATGACGACGACTTCGTGGCGCGCCCAAAGCCTATCAAGAAGTTGGCAGTGAAGTCTCGGGCGCCTGAGAAAAGCCAAACCGCGCCAATCGTCCAAGATGAAAATTCCCGGGATTCAAAGAAGCTGGCAAAGCCCGCAGAAACTGTGCGTAAGACTGAAGCTGCGAAGCCCGATGTAGCACCCAAGAAAACACAGAAGACTGCTCAATTGCCGAAGCCTCCACGCGCGCCGCCACCCTCTTCCACGAATCCAGCAGCCCCTCGGACGCTGCGTGCAAAGACGCCTCAGCCCTCCGAACTACCCAAATCGAATATGAAAAATGGTGGATTGACACAACCGACAGCGGGCAAAGCAAAAGCGGCCTCGCAAGCAACTGTTTCTGTTCCATCAGATGCGGCCAAAGCTCAGAATAGTGGGAAATCAAGTACAGCACTCCCTACGAAGAAGCTGGCAGTGAAGCCTGCGGTCAAACCAAAGCAGGATTTGAGCGTGTTTGATGTACCATCGTCAGAAGATGAAGCACCAGCAACAGTCAAAAAGGCGCCGCGTCAAATTCAAGCAACCAAGAAGAAGGAGCCTGCAAAGATACCCCCGCCAGCATTTCAGGCCAATCAAAAACAGGACTCAGAATCGGACAATTCGAGCGAGTCCCGGAAGCGGAAGCGTGGAGGTTCAGTCTCGTCTACCGCTACTGTAGCCAAGTCAACGTCGCGCAAGAAGCCCGAAAGCTCTGTCCCTGCACGGAGTCGCAAGTCTCAGAAGAAAGAAGGCCATGATTCTCCAGGTTACACACCGCAAGTTCAGACAAATGCAAGCATCTCCCGCAAGACTCAAGCTACAGCGGCACAACCTACAGCATCAATGGTCAATAAAGCAAGGAGGACCAATCAACGTACTGTACCTGTGTTGGGACCTCCAAAAACTATCAAGGGCCAATCTTCACCAGCTATGCTTAGCAGTATGCTTTCCAATCGCCAACCAGCCAAGCCATCTCCTATAGCAGAAGCCCCTTCAGCTTCCGAACTAGATGATCAGACCATGTATGATATTCCAGATTCACTTACCACACCAGTTCGTGCGCCAAAGGCCTCTGTGACTGGCTCAACAACCCCACGACAGAGGACTCTCTTTGGCGGCTTGTTGGGCGACTGTTCACCGTCAGGCACACCGATGCCTAGCATATCTAGTCTGCAGTTGACAGACAAGAAACCAAAATCGCTCATTGGTGGGCTGTCAAGATCAAAATCTGATCTTACACACTGTGCCGAAGCCCGCAAAACCAGGCTCATTGACACACTCAAGCCAGCCGAGAGCAGCTCAGATGAAGAAGAGGATGATAGTAGCAGCGAAGGTACAAGTGAATTGGAAGAAGGCCAGGATGAGGCACCAAATACACAGCGACCCGCACAAGCATCCATGAATGCACGTCCTGCAGCCAACTCTGCCTCTGACGACATGGATGTTGACGTACAAGCAAATGGCGAATCGCAAACGTCACAGGGCACTTCTGGGTATGGTATGCGACCCAAGCTCACGTACGCCATGTCACGATCATATTTACGGGAGGCCAACCCAGAAGATGATCTGCTAATCACCATGGATCTGGACGATGATTTTGGCGCCCACTCACAATCTAGAGATACTGTGTCTGTGTCCGAAGACGAGCCTGACGCGGCGAGCCAAGCACAAGCTCATCATGAGCTGAAGAGCCGAGGGCGCAACTACGTGTTCCAGCAGGAGGCTCAGTCGATGATTGACGATATTTCGAGTACCACGTCGAGCAGCATACGGCGAAGCGCCATGATGGAACTGTGTACAAAGATGGCCAACGAGACGTTTTGTAGTCAACTCCTTGACTCGCCGTTGGCCCACCAGTTCTTCCGCAATATCTCGGTTGGAGGAGAGGTTATCTTTGACTTTGCTGTCGCTGTCGTCATTGTGTTGATCCTGCGTACCAAGCCTAGCTACACTGTTCTGGACCAAGTGCGCGACGGTGGCATTCTCGGCAACTTGACCAAGCTCCTTGGGAAAGACGCAGACATTCAGAAGATTGCCAGAGATCGCAAGACAAATCTGTCAAAGATAGCGAAAGATGCGGTGATGAGTCTCCGCAGTCTGGTGCAGCAATGTTCCATGTGGGCGCCTGCAACGACAAGCAAGGTGACGCCGCAGCTTGTGTCGATGAAGGCTATCGAGTTGCTAGTTATCGGGCTCCGCAAAGCTGGCAATACTGATACCCTGCTCGATCAGGAAACAGTCTCACAGCTGGTTGATATTGCCACAACATCAGACCAACGTCTAAAGAACAAGGAAGGAGGACCGGAAGATGAAGCAATCCTACTCATGGTCCTCTCAACGCTCGAGTCGGTCTCAGCCACAAGACAGAAACAAGCCACATGGCCCACTACCGTTCTCGAGCGCATTGCCGGCTTCATGCCCCGATTCCTTCATACCGATGCAGCAGCCTCGACCATGCTAGCGGTCAAACTCTGCATGAATCTTACAAACAACAGGCCCAAAGCCTGCCAATCCTTTTCAGCAAAGACATTCGTCCAGCCGCTCATACTCTCCATCATTGAGCGATTCCAATCGCTCAATGATGGAGCAGCATCCGAGAAGCGAACAGAGACTCTGGAAAGTCTGATTCTGAGTCTAGGGGCTACGATTAATCTCGCCGAGTTCAGCGATGAAATGCGGCTCAACGCGGACGATAACGAACAGAGTATAGAGGTGTTGGTTAAGATATTCGTCGAGGGCTCGGAGCGGGCATCACAGGTGCGTGCACATGATACACTTATTCACGCTAATCGCAAACTCACTCACTCCTTTCTAGGCCAAATCCGTCGAAGAATCGCATTCTGGAGTAGCAATTGGATATCTCGCTGTGCTTCTTGGCAATCTTTGCCTCAATGACTTGATGCGATCTAAGATCCAGATGTTGCTGCCGGACAAGCAATTGAATGTGCTAATTGAAAGCATCAAAGAGTTTGTGCGCGTGCATGAGCATGTTGATAAGCGGACGGAGGAATTTGAGGGAGCGGAAGGACAAGAGGCGTTGCAGACGTATACGGCGCGACTGATGCTTGTGGTGGAGAGATTGGCAAGGGCGGCATGAGATTGGGGATTGGGTGACTAGTAGTCACCTCACCCTTGTTTAGTTCTTGGCATATGGTGTGTGTGTGTGCGAGTAGCCAAAGGGTTAATTGGTTCGTTTTTTTCTTGTTTTCCAGTTTCTTTTTGTTTCTGGGAAGGATGGGGCGTTGAGATTGACGGCATGATACCCGAAATTCACGAACTTGATAGCTCTATTGTATGTAGGTGACGGGCGCAAGGTTAGGTTCAAAGAGGCCGGCTCTATGCAGGTGCTGGACATGGGGCATATAGTATGTTAAGATCAAAAATGGCTCAGTCATTGAGTAGGAAATGTGTACATGCGCCCGTCTGCCGGCGGGTGTTGGGCGTCCGTGTTCAGTTTGGGGGAGGGTTAAATGCAGTGAGAGGCTAAATGTGCGCTCGCACGCATAAGGCTGCGTTATTGTGTCCCGACGAAGCGGACGAAATGACGCAACCGGCGGTATGTGGAGAGGGTTTGGCGTCGGAGCAAATTGACAGGATTGCTGCTAGGAGATTTGGCTGCAGCAGGGCCGTCTGAGGTTGCAATTAATAAAAACGGGAGCGGGCGGGCCATGAGTAGCAAGGTGTTTGCATGTGATTGTCTAGTTTTTGAGTCGCGCACAAGATGGTTGCGGCTAGTGGGTAGTGGATCGGGGCAGCGGGAGGGTCTTTGTGACTGGAATGGCAGATGGACGAGGGTGTTTGAGGTTGAGTGGAGTAGTGTAGAGCATGTCGGTGATTGGCAATACGTAAATGAATGCTTCGAGAAGGCCGGGATTCGTTGGGGGGGTGGGTGCATTGGTGGTGCCAAACCCAAAGCGATGTATCATGGTTGCCCAACCATTGATTGTATCATGCTGCGTCGTCCGCATCTGCTGCTGGTGCTAAATGCAGACCACCAGCCGGGCCCCGGGGTCTGGCTGGGTCTGTTTTCCTCAAAAGCTCTCTCTGGCGGTGCCAAAGGACAACACTGCGGGTGACGTTGCGCCGGCCAGCACAGCAACTCTCTTGTCCCATAGATTCAGACACACACACCCTCTCTCTCACACACGCATCACCTGCAGCTCGACGGCGTCATCCCGGCGCTAGCTCTTCCAGGCAATTGGCAGGCCCGAACCACCAAAACCAAACTTAGGCAGCTAACTCCCCAGAGCTGCTGGACTCGAGCAACGGCCATACATACTTTCACCCTGGCCAGCCCGTGGCCGCCCCTCCGCCCTCGCCAGCTACCCTTCGCCTTCACAGCACCATGGCCCCGCCCAAGCAGAGAAAGATTGCCATCGTCGGCAGCAGGGCAGTCGGTACGTCGAGGCGGGTGGCGTGCGCAACCTCCTTCACATGCAAGCCGCAGCACGCAGCACGCAGCATACTGACAAAACCCTCCAGGCAAGTCGAGTATGACGGTGCAGTTTGTCGACGGCCACTTTGTAGACAGCTACTATCCTACCATTGAGAACACGTTTAGCAAGATGATCAAGTACAAGAACCAAGACTATGCCACCGAGATTATCGACACAGCCGGACAGGTACTTTAAGCTTTTCTTTTCTCCCCGCGTCGCCCTGCCCTGCCCTGCCCAGCCCACCTCCACACCCCACTCTGCCGGTGCTTCGTGCGCCGCGACTGGGCCTGGGACGCGCATTGCTTGCATCCAAGGCCGCTGCCGCTGCCACTGCCACTGCTACTTTATGTGAACACGAGCAAGAACAAGAGGACTCGACTGACTCGGCTGCTACTGTCCAGGATGAATACAGCATTCTTAACTCGAAGCATTTCATCGGCATCCACGGCTACATGATTGTCTACTCGGTCGCCAGCAAGCAGAGCTTTGAAATGGCACGCATTATCCGGGATAAGATTCTGAACCACCTGGTAAGTGCTGGTGCATGCATACAATGGGCCATTGTTACAAAGACACGGAAGCTGACCACGTTGCCACGCCAGGCCGTCGAATGGGTTCCCCTCGTCATTGTAGGTAACAAGTCCGACCTTCGCCCCGAACAACGCCAGGTCACTCCCGAAGACGGCCGCGCGCTCGCTGCCGAGTTCAAGTGCGCGTGGACCGAAGCCAGCGCCCGCTACAACGAGAATGTGCAAAAGGCGTTTGAGCTCATGGTTGCTGAGGTGGAGAGATCCCAGAACCCTGGTGAGCCTGCAGGCGGCAGCAAGTGTTCAGTCATGTAATTGAACATTGTTGACTCACATGAGGGCGTCCCCTCCTCTCGCTTCAAGGCGTCGGAGTGGACAAGCACAAAACGTCGCAGCAAGAGCGGGACAAGAGACGGCACAAGCGAAAGGACGTGGTGAAGGATGTGGTGAAGCATTTGAAGACGCTCTTGGTGAAGAAAGACAAGGGCGGGGTCATGTGCCATTTTCTTTTTGCTTTGGTTTCTTAGACGACATAGACGGGGCGGGCTGTTTTGAGGCAGTCATGACATTTGTTTATGCGGACACGACTCTTATGTTTGGCATGAGAGGCGAGGTGCGTACTGGCGTATCAACGGAGGAGGCGGGGTGGGTGAACTCGGCGTTGTATCTGGTATCTGGACTCTCCGTGTTGCTCCATGACGGCATGCCACAGCCGTCGTAGCTACTGTAATGCTCCGCGTTATTTTCCAAGACTCGACAGTGCACTATGCAACGGACCTGTGCTGACATCTGACACGGGGACATGTGCCATGGCTGGCTGGTGTTACTATGTAGTCTGACATGGCCGCCGCTTACCCCTCCGCTGGCTGTCTGGCCTGCCTTCTCGCTCTCCCAGCAGCTCCACCGTGCACGCACACGCATACGCACACGCCTTGCCTGCCTGCCTGCCTTTGCCCATGCCATGCACCGACCACCCCCCAAGCCAACCCACAAAACTCGTTTAGGCAGCTCTAAAGCTTTGACAGAAAAGCCACCGTTTTCCACGGTCCTTTGGAGAGGCCTACTCGATTTGGTAGTTTGGGACCGTCGACATCTGTGCGGCCTCAGCTGCCCTGGATTAGCTACTATACAGTACACGCACTACCAACACACTACCACTGCCATCCCTCACCGCCCTACCATGTATACTATACAACCAGCCTTCCTCTGCCCGCCCCCTCTTGATTGGCTCCCCGGCACCCACAACAACCTTTTTCTTTCCCCAAGCAGTAATTTCCCACCACTGCCGTTGATTGCTGGCCTTTTAGAGAAAAGGTTCCCCCGGTGCGTTTGCGGTTAGTGGCAAATGGGTCCCCTTGGAACTGGGCTGCTGCCGCCCTTGGGTGCGAGTAAAAGGTCTAGTGCGGGGCGGCCTTTTGATCCCTGCAACCGGCGGTTGTCGTGCGGGACACAACTCGATGAGTCGCTCACTGGCTTTTGACACCAAACTGAACCACGCTTACGCGCCATTGCTTGCTCTCTTTTTCCGCACTACACACTGAGATTGTGAGACAATATGCTGGACTTGTATGTCATGTTTTTTTTGTTTTTGTATTTCTGTGTCGCGGTAACTGTGCGGCAGATGCTTCTGTGGAGAGGCTTGGAGGGGCTTGCAGCTTGACAGTGGGAGGGAGAGCATGGACGATACAAATCAGACAATGGCGCAGACATGCGACTTTACAGAGGATCTCTAGCTAATCTGCTTCTCTACTACAGAAACGATTTCATCAAGGAGCGCGGCGGCGACCCAGAAGTGTGTATTCCCTTCAGGCAATGCTCGCGCGACAACACAATTTCGCAATTGCTAATTTCCACAACGTAGAAAATCCGCGACTCCCAGAAGAAGCGCCACGCCCCCGTCGAGATAGTGGATGAGATCATAGCCGATTTCGAAGGCAAGAACCCAGCACCCTAGGCCCTCTTATACACATGCACAAAAAAAAAGCTCATATTTTCTAACCTTTGGATCTTTACGAAACAGACCACCGCCGCACGCAATACGACGCCACGCAAATCGGCTCCAAGATCAACGCCATCCAAAAGCAAATCGGCGCCAAGAAGAAGGCAAAGGAAAACGCAGACGACCTGCTCGAGGAGAAGAAGCAGCTCGAAGAGTCTAAGAAGAAGCAGGAAGCAGAGGCCCATGCTAAACTCGTCAAGTTGCATGCCAAAGCAAAGTCGGTCGGCAACTACGTGTACAAGGATGTCCCTGTTAGCGACAACGAAGACAACAATGCGGTGCTCAAGACTTGGGCACCCGAGTCGAGAAAGGCTGAGTTTAACAAGGAGGGCATACCACATCATGGTGTCTTGGCTAGGTTGAATGGGTGCGTGGATGCCGGTGTATCGAAATGTGCGGAATGGGGGCTGAAGTTTGAGACAGATACGATCCAGAGCGCGGTACCAAGATTGTTGGTCATAGAGGATATGGTAAGTGCGCCCCTGGCAGATGTTTCTTTGTGGTTGTGTTTTTGGCCATGCGCGGGGCGCTTGTTGTTATGGTATTTGGAACTTTGGACTAACCTTTTTTTCTGTAGTACGTGAATTCCACATCTGCAACTACCATTGCACACAACCGACTGCGCTTTTTATCAAAAAGCATGCAAGCGCTGCCTTGAATGACCACTTTGGATATGAAACAACGTAGAACACGTACTAATCTATATGTGTTTAGTGCCTAACTGGCTACGGTGTCTTCCTCAACCAAGCACTGATCAACTATGGTCTTGAATTCTTGGTAGGTATCCAACTATGTCATTTGGAAATGTCAAAAACTGACACAGACTCTTAGTTCAGCAAAGGCTTCACTCCCAACCAACCACCTTTCTTCATGCTCCGGGATCAGATGGCCAAGACCGCACAACTTTCCGACTTTGACGAGGAACTCTACAAGGTCACCGAGAGCAAGGACAAGCCCGAAACCGACAAGTACCTCATTGCCACTTCAGAACAGCCCATTTCCGCTCTTCACTCAGAAGAATGGCTACACAGCGATCAACTGCCCATCAAGTACGCCGGATACTCAACAAACTTCCGAAAAGAGGCCGGATCTCACGGCAAGGATGCCTGGGGTATCTTCCGGATACACCAGTTCGAAAAGGTTGAGCAGTTCCTCCTCACACACCCCGAAAAGTCATGGGAGGCCTTTGATGAGATGCTTGCCAATTCGGAAGAGTTCTATCAGAGTCTTGGTCTGCCTTACCAGGTCGTCGCTATTGTTTCCGGAGCGCTGAACAATGCCGCCTCAATGAAGCGCGATCTCGAGGCCTGGTTCCCTGTCACTGGTGGAGGAGAGTACAAGGAGCTCGTGTCCATTTCCAACTGCACTGACTACCAGACGCGTGAACTTGAGATTAGACACGGTATCAAGAAGTTGAATGCTACTCGCAAGGAATACGTTCATGCGCTCAACGGCACTCGTAAGTTTATTTCTTTCTATATTGGCTATTGGAAGGGTGAGTGCTGACTAAATCGTGTTTAGTTTGCGCTACTGAGCGAACGCTCTGCTGTATCCTCGAGAACTACCAGACGCCAGAGGGTTTCGTGGTTCCGGAGGTTCTGAGGAAATATATCCCCGGTCAACCTGACTTCTTGCCGTTTGTTAAGGAGTGGAAGGCGCCCAAGGAGGACAAGGCTCTTCCGGACCGGACGAAATAGATTGGAGGCTTGTTCGAGTAGAGAGCGTTGGAGAAGAGAGGCTCAAGGAGGTGGAGTGAAAGGATTGATGGATTCAAATGGCACTGAAAGACTGGCAAAGTATGCCTTGCCATAGTATGACGAATACAGAATCATGAATGGGGAGATTTCATGAATGCAAAATGTGAAATTGTAGCTTGCCATATCTTGACAAAAAGCCCCAGGCGCGATTCCACCAGCCTTCCCTTCTGCCATGTTTTTTTTTCCTTTCTTTTTTTTCATCTTTCCTTATATCTCACCCACTCTCCTCCTCATCAAGCCTATTCTTCCAACTCCCCAACCACCGATACCCACTACACACCTTGCCCAGCCCTTCCAACGCCCTATCCACCGCCCCCATTTCCTCTTCCTGACCGCCACCACCATCACCATGTCCTCGCCTACTCCTCCCCTTCAACTCTACAAAAAACACATAATGCCAATTCCTATCCCCACTCGGCCTCGTATTAATCGACGTAAGATTAATCCCCTGCGCCGAAAACGCCGTCAGACAATTCGCCAGCGCACCAGGGTTCGAGTGCTGTACTGTGAATGTGACTAGGGATTTCCATGCTGCGTCGTCGTCGTCACCATCATCGCCTTTGCCCTGCACAACGGTGCTTGAACGCTGAACAGCAGCAGCAGCAGAAGAAGAAGAAGAAGAAGACGCACGATGTCGGAGAACAAGAAACCTAGTCGCATTCCCCAACCGATCATTCACCCCTTCCGCCAGCACCTGGAGGCCGAAAAGACGGGCTGCAACGGGACTCGACAGCGCGGCCGACGTGGCCGTCTCGTCCTCTGCTGCAATCTGCGCCGCGCGCGACGTAGAGCTTACATCGATCTTCTCGACGGCGCGAAAGTGGGTAGTGAGGAAGTTTTTGCACTGGCCCCAGGCCTGGGGGTGCGAATAGATGCGTTTGATGTGCGAGAAGTCGTTGGTTTGCTTGCCGGTGGGAGTGTCGGTCGAGGCTGGGGCAGGCAAAGGACGACGGCCTAAGAGACAGTGCCGTACCGCGACGTAGGCTTCGTCGCAAACGAGTATGTCGGCGTGCTTGCGCTCGAGGTCGGCGAAGAGGTCGAGGGTGAAGAGGACAGAGCCGTTGGAGCTGTTTTCAAAGGGGACGACGCCTCGGTGGGCTGTGCCGGATTGCACGGCGGAGAAGACGTCTTGGATTGTGGTGAGTGGGGTGAGGGTTGTTGTTGGAGGGTCCTGTGGGGGGAAGGTGGAGAGGGCGGCCTGGTGAAGGGTTGGTATGGAGAGGAGTCGAGAGGATTGAAAAGTCAGGAGAGGAGAGAGAGAGAGAGAGAGAGAGAGAGAGGGAATGTGAGAGAATGAAATGAGAAATGTGAAGCAAGGGTAATTCAGACACCATAGAGTATGTGTGGCCAATGGCATGGCTCTTCTTTCCCACCTCTTCTATTCTGAATCCAAGAATCAAAGATACGAAATAAAGTATAAAGTGTGAACCCCATGTTACTATACAAGACCAGTCATAACGAAAGTTGACGAAGGAAGAAAAAAAATCAACATCCAGAAACATTCATTATTCAACTTACCTGATGAGTATAACTACCCTCTGGCCCTAAATAGGCAACAACTGGTTTCTCCTCCACGCCCGTCATATTTTCTTTTGGCTGTTTGGCAAGGTACCAAAAAAAAGTGTATGTATAAGTAGATGGCTAATCCCCATCGAACCAAAGGGTAGTAACTAACTATATATTGTCTCGGAACGACGTCGGAACCCCCCGGTATCGGCGCTAGTAGCGTAACATCCGTCCGAACGGTACTTGTGCTCAGGCACATCATACTACACAATAGGGCGCTCTAGGACAACGAGTACTTTAACAGGCAAAGGGCGCCCACATAACACATAACTGTATATACAGGGCGCAACACTACGTCATACTACTGATTCGAAACCAACATCATCGAGTTAGTCACCAAAATCAAAACAGGACAACATGTTAAAGTCACTTTTCTAATTCAGCTAAATTTGAGAGAGCGACGAGCTGACGCATGATATGGGTGAGCAATCTTCCTGTTCCTTCCTTTCCTCCCCCTTTGGAGAGAGTCACAGCCAATCAAAGACAATAACCATTCTTCAGAACCCACTCATTTCTAGTCCTGACAACAGCTAAGATAGAGCTTCTCGGACCGGGTTTTTGAAGAGGCTAAGCCTTGGACGAGACCGCTGCCTCTCCGTGCAAGCGAGAGCGGGTCGTGGTAAGAATGGGTGTTGATCGACCTGCACACTATTAGCGCCAACACATCAAACAACACAACTTCAACATACATTGCAAACCCTCCGTAGGCACTCCCATCTTACAACCTGGAGAGGCGAAGCGTCGTTGCTTCGACTACTCTGGCCTTGACTCCGGACACGTCATTTGGACTTTTCGCGCGGGTAGCGGACGTTCCTTCACTCGACACGAGTGGAGACGCTACCTCGCAGTCAGCGAGGGCGCACAACCGTCAATCATCGTAGAACTCGTCTTCATCGTCGTCGACCTCGGCAAGCTGTTCAAAGTTGAGGGCATAACGCAGGATGGCACCGATACCACCAAAGCCCTTGACGAACTGGTTACCCTCGGAAGAACGGTCCGAGACGAATTCGAGGTTGGCACCAAAGTCGCGGTACTTTTCGGCAAGCCACTCGAGCATGGAACCCTGATCAATGACTTCCATCTCTTGTCCGGTTTCCTTGTCCATGAAGATGCTTCGGTCTTCTTCTTGGAGCTTTGTAGTGTGGAGAATAATCTCGGAACCGGCAGAGCTTTTAAGAACCCATCGAGTGATTTCCAAGTTTTCAAAGACAATCAGAGTCTCGGCCGCACCAGCCTCAAGGGCCTTCAAGGTATCGTCGATACCGTAGCAGACCTTTCCAGAGTCCTTGGAGATGTGGTCAAAGTACTCGTTGATGAGCTTCTTTTCTTGAATGAACTTGACGTTGCTCAGAGTCTCGCCTGCAAGTTCAATGGCCTGGTTGAAACCGTTTTCGCCTCCGTAGGACACATCGACAACCTTGATGACCTTGGACTGCAGACGGTTGTCGAAGAGGTCCGACTGGTTGAGGTCGTTCTTGAAGTCGGCAGAACCAGCGAGAATGATCCCAGCAACGTTGACCTTGTCGGCGGTGATGAAGTTCTGGACAGCCAATTCGGCGACCTTGCGGACGTAGTTATGGCGCTTTTCTTCACGCAGACGGGCGAAACGCAGAGCGGACTGACCACCACGACCGTGCTTCTTAGGAAGGTCGACCGAGAACCTGGTGGCGTTAGCATAGCAACATGGCGGGGGGTTGTACGTCAGGCTCACTTGTGGACAATTTCACGCGTGTTTCCTGACAGAGTGCCGAAAAGAGCACCGTTTCCGTCCATGATGATGAAACCAAACTTTTGGTCAGACTCGAGCAGTTCGCTCAGGGCCTCGGTATGGAACTTGTTGTCACACAGGTATAGCGAGGTGTTGATGGGCTTGAAGGGCTCAAAGTCAATGTTGATCTTGCGCTCCTTGCCTTCGGCGGTGATGATTTCACCGCAGTAGACAACGAGGCCATTGGGAGGGACCTTTGAGTAGAGCTTCAGACGCTGCTGGGTCGATGTGATGGCGGACAGGACAGAGAGACGGTTGACGCGGGACTTGATGTTGGAGGCAGTGCCCTGAGCGCGCAAACGTTAGTCGGTGGACATAAATCGCGCAAGATCAGGTGGCAGACATACAAACTCTTCAGCCAACATTTTGGCGGCGCGCGAGATCTGGTCCTTGGGGGCTTTGGAGAGTCAGTCGGTGGGCGGGCAGGCTGCTGCGCGGCGATGACATACGGATGATGAGCGAAATCATGGATGTGCCATTTCCGCGGGCGGCCTCGAGACGCTTGATGAGCTTCTTGACCTTCCAGATCTCAATGTTCTTCTCGGCCTCATTGGGCTGCTCGTTCTTCCCGGACATGGTCGCGGTGGGTTGGTGGTTGTGCTGGAGAGGGAGGGGTGGGGTCGAGAGATTTTCTCCAAGGGCGAGGGGCAGGCGAGCAGGCCAGCAAGCGACGACGTAGGGGCACGCACGGCGACTGCAAGCACGCGTTTGCAGAGTGCAGACGGCAGCAGAAAGGGGGTGTTTGCAGCCGGCGGGCGTGGGTGAAGGAAAAGATTTGCGTCTTGGGCTGACTGTGTGCTCACACCAGGCCGCGGATCTGGTCTGGCATCATCATCAGGCACGCACGCACACCCACCCATATGGCATAGAGAGTACACATAGGCAGCGCACAATGGACACGGCTGGCGATGCTCATTGGCTCGGTTAGCTGGCCAACCAGCGGGCAGCTCGGCGCGAGGCTGCCGGCATCCGCGTTATCAGCCATAGCTCCTCCCCCCCCCGTGGCAGCACCCTATGACGGCTACGGTGCGGGGGCCATGGGTCCCCTCGTGATAGCGATCCATGGCTCCTGGTTTCTGCGTCTTTCGATGCTGCGCACCAGGGCTCCATGTCTTGGTCGGCGCTTCTTTGTATAAAGTAATGCCATCCGTCATGGCTCCATCGTGGTTATCTACTGCATCCACAGGGTGCAATCTCAACCCGACGATAGCCAGGTATCCATTCAGTAGTTCCCGCCCCTGCAGGGTTTCAATCAAACCAGTTTTTTTATATCAAGCCTCGTGCTCCACTCGCGCCCCTTGGTCGTGTGTTCCTCTTCCCGTCATTGCCGGCACTCACCATGGACATCAGAGGAAAACAGCCCTCGACTTGGGACGACTACGACGGCTCCGCCAGGGCCTCAATCGACTCGGACACGGGCAGCCGTGTGCAGTGGGACCGCCTCGAGAGGCGCCCCAGTGGCGAGAGCAACGCGACAACCGGAGGCCGCTGGTCGGGAGCAGCAACTGAATTGCGGCGACGGCGGTGAGCATGGCTCCTGATCTTGGTGTTGCGCGTGACGAAGCTAACAGGCTCTCTTAGATCTTCCATCGGCCAGCAGTTTGGCGCACTGGGCGACGCTGGCGGCGTAAACAGCATCAACAATTTCGCGCGATCATGGCAGCGTGCCGCAGGCTTCTTCGAAATCACTCCTGTCCGACCCTCGTTCCGCGTTGAGCATGGCGACGGCGATAGCGACGGCGCCGACCAAGATGGCGACACTGACGCGGCTGATTTTCCGCGCAGCGACCTCCCAACTCCCGTCCCAGACCAACGATCAGCCCTGCGCAATGCCCTGCAAACCGAGGGGAGGCGTGCATCGGACAATGCAGTCACGGATGAAGAGCAAGGCGCCACTGAGCAGACCCAGCTGCTGCCCCATACAGTCGAGCAGCGTCTGAGAGGAAGGGGATCTAGCATATTCCAAATCGAGCCCTCGCTATCCTCGCCCTTTGGTGCAAGCTACGGCACTGCTTACGGCAGTCTAAGCTCGCGCGTCAACGAGTCCTCGATGCGCCATGCTGGGCGACTGTTCACCGAGCAGCAGCTCAAGGGCGCTACAGAGCCCGAACAGGAGCGAGAGCCGCTTCTTGTCAAGCAAGTCGAGGAAGATGGCCATATCATCAACGTGGTTGTGGGCCAATCTACCATGCCTCAGACCATTTTCAATTCAGTCAACGTGCTGGTGGGCGTGGGACTGCTTACGCTTCCTCTGGCTTTCAAGTACTCGGGTTGGCTGATTGGCATGATTTTCCTTGCCTGGTCAGCCGTCGTCACTGCCTACACTGCGAAGTTGCTTGCCAAGTGTCTCGATGTCGATGGCTCCTTGATTACCTTCGCCGATTTGGCTTACGTTTCATATGGCTCAAAAGCCCGAGTGGCCGTCAGCATGCTGTTCTCCCTTGAGTTGCTCGCAGCTTGTGTTGCACTTGTCGTGTTGTTCGCTGACAGTATGGACGCGCTGATTCCTGGATGGGATATCTTGCAATGGAAGATCTTGTGTGGTGTGATTTTGATACCACTGAGCTTCCTGCCGCTCCGCTTCTTGTCATTTACATCTGTTTTGGGTGTCATGTCTTGCTTTGGAAGTGAGTAAATGACTATGCATCCCCAAATCTCATTTGCTAACACCAGCTAGTTACCATCGCAATCTGGATCGACGGTCTTGTGAAGCCAGATGCCCCCGGATCCATTCGCCAACCAATGACACAATACCTCTTCCCCGATAACTGGCTTACCGTTCCACTCTCCTTTGGTCTCCTCATGTCTCCCTGGGGTGGCCATTCTGTTTTTCCAAACATTTACCGCGACATGCGACACCCCTACAAGTACCGCAAGTCTGTCAACATAACCTACATCTTCACCTACATTATCGACGTCGGAATGGCATGCGCTGGCATTCTCATGTTCGGTGATGGCGTCTTGGAAGAAATCACGAGCAACATCTTCTTAACAGAGGGTTTTCCTAAGGGCATTTCAGTATTCATCGCCATCTGCATTGCCATCATCCCGTTGACCAAGATCCCATTAAATGCTAGACCCATTGTAAGCACCCTCGAGCTTCTCTTTGGCCTAGACGCACGATCTCTGGCCATGTCACCTTCCATGGACGGCATGGACGGTCTCACCCGGGGATTCTTCAAGATCTCTTTACGCATTTTCACAATCGTTTTGTTTGTCTTCATCGCTATTGTTTTCCCCTCATTCGATCGCATCATGACACTTCTCGGAAGTGTCGCTTGCTTTAGCATTTGCATCATCCTACCGTTGATGTTCCACCTGAAGCTTTTCGGAAAAGAAATATCCAGTGGAGAGAAGATGATGAACTGGGTGCTGATCATCGTCAGCGCCATAATGGCCGTTGTCAGTACTGTGTTTGCTTGCATACCTAAAGAGCTCCTTGAGTCGTAGGTACAGAAGATGTTGATGGATAGAGATGCGAAAAGTCTATACGTGGCAGTGTTTTCTCAGTATGCATGAAGCACGATATCCGGGAGAATTTGGCGTTTTTGAAGCATTTACTCTAATTTCCTTCTAGTCATGAACTACGTAATTTACAGTACACATCATTGGATATTGGGTTTCACGGATACGACTGTTACCTGATTCTGTCACCTTTCCTTTCATTGCAGAGTCATAGCTCTAGATTGCTTTCATTCTTCACTGAGCTGCTTCAGCCTACTATAAAAATTCAGATTGTTCAAGTTAAAATAAAACAGCTCTCTCCTCCAGTTGTTCCTTTTCTTATTTTGACTCGGGCGCATCCTACCTCCATGAGATCGTTCTTCCTAATTGCATGTACGACATGCGCCACTTTTGTACACGCCCTCGTCGTCCCGGACGTCTCTCCTGAGCCTGTCGCGAGCGCCACCAACAACACTCTTCCAAACGAAAATCCTCTTAAAGAATGGCTCGGGCCAACAAAGGCGGCTGCCGACGAACCATGGACGCTCTCTGTTGCTCGAGGCGCAAAGCTGCTGCAGGGCATGAAAAGCAATGATGCGGAAGCAGCGAGTCTCTACGGCTTAGAAACAACTGCGGAATCACCCTTTGACGGTAACCTCATCGAAAAGTTGCGCGAATGGGGCTACAACGATAACAACGACGCTCTAGCCAAGCAAGCAGACCCAGAGTGCAACTCTGATAGTCGCGATGGCCACATGCTCAAGAAAGCCTTTACGGATCTAGGAATCGGGACAAAGAGCAAAGGCAAAGGCGGCCCAAACCGGTGTTTTTCGATTGAGCATGCCAATGGCCCAGCTGTCAAGTTAGGAAACAACAGAAAGATGCCTGAAAAAGGCGACCAGCGGTACGAAGTCTGTGGAAAAGAGTACAGAGTCACAAATGCCGAGCATACAATCGGCGTTAATCCAGAAGCTGGAGCTGTGTATGCTATGCAACTCTCCTCGGCCGCCAAAGCAGCGCGTAGACTGTGGAAAAGGGCGCCACTCACTGAAGAACTTCCGGCTATATGTAGCGTCTCTGACATCGCATGGGCGTTTTGGAACCGTGCGCATACTTCACAAGGCCTGGATAATATCAAGTACCTTTTCGTTGCCATGATCATTAACAAAGAGACCAATCAGCATGTCAAGCGCGCTTTGGGTACGCTGTCACCCCCAAAAGACGAACCCGACGAATGGCCGGGCCACGAATTCAACATGGATACAGATGAAAGGAAGGCGCTACTTGGCTCACCGGTTGGACGATGGGCAGGATATTTCTTGATGCAACACAAGAGGCAGTTGGGAGGAAACAAGTACATAGCCAATGTGAGAGTGTTCAAGAGTGAAAAGGAAGGTAGTTGGCCGTACTTCTTATTCTATGTCGTTGGCCCCGGTATAGCTCCTATCTGGAAGCGTAACGCTGGCCTAGATACAACAGAAGGATATGTAGATGCGGGACCAAAGGTTATCATGAGAAACGAAGATGGAAGAAATGTGGTTAGAGAGCATACTGTTTGGGCGGATAGGTAGTCCCACCAGTTTCTGCACATGCCGTCACCACACTTCTTTTGTACTCACCATCATAACCAAAATCTTATAACTTGTAATAAACTGTTTAACAGTTCATCTCTACCAAACATGAAAAATGTCAAATCATAAACACCCCCGCTGACTAACACACGTCGCGCCCCAATCGGCGCAACCCCAGCAGAAACCGCCGACGTCCCCCATCAAGTACGTCAAGAAATTCTATCAAACAGAGCGACAAACACGCACCAGCCCTCCACACCCAAACGCAAAAAAACAATTGCCTTTCACAAACCCCTCGTTTCGCAAAAACCCCCCACACCACTCTTTCCGAAACCACCAAAGCAAAGAAAAAGGGAAAAAAAATCAACCATGGACTCTCTCGGCAGCGGCCTCGGCAACCTCGATCTCTCCAAGCTATCCGACCGCGACAAGCAAGAACTCCAGCAATTCGCCATGAACGAAGGCCAAAAGGCTAGAATACAATCTTGTACGTCCCTTGCTCCCGCAACCCCCCACCCTCCCCGTCCAGAACACTACACATTCAAGATGAATTTGCTAACGCAAGAAATTTGCTCAGCCATCCACTCCCTAACCGACACCTGTTTCCGCAAGTGCATCCCGACCGGCACGGTTAAATCCGGTAAACTGGACAAGTACGAGGAGCCGTGCATGCGACAGTGTGTGGATCGGTTTTTGGATGCGAATTTGGTCGTGTTGAGGGAGTTGGAGAGGTTGAGGGGATGAAAAAAGAGAGAGAGAGATGGATTGATAGAAGGGGAAAACATGGGGGGGAAATGTACGATACGATACGAAAAGGATGTGAATATGGTTGTTACGTCAATCATTTTGTAGGATACTGCAATGCTGGCTGAGAGGGGGGGGGGGCGCATGCTACGAATGGCGATCCAAAAGACATGCATGAACGCATCACATGGGCGCGGCTACGCCTAAAAAAACAACGACAAAGCTGCTCAGTGCTAGCAAAATCAAAGTAATCAATTGCAATCTCACTTCTCAAACAATTACACATCACACATCGTTGTCAAGTGCAAAAAATACTTTGTTTCAGGACCAAGTTGAGTATTGGCGCCATGTGGAAATTTGTTTCATTCGAAGTCAACCTTTGACTACGTTTATCCCATGAACGCCCGCCATGCATATCACATCGCTTTTTTCCTTTACCGGGTATAACCAGGACCCTATCATGGTCATCCATGCCCTCTCTTCGTACAAACACCGCCTCATTTAAACAATGGCGAGCTTGGTAGCCGCAATGTCGAGAGCGTCGACGTCGGCGGTGAGGCGGCAGAAAGCCTTCTTTGAGCCGTCGGGGCGGATCAGGGTGTTGATCTTGACACAGCTGACGTCGTACTGCTTCTTGAGGGCGGCGGCGATTTGGCGCTTGTTGGCCTTGACGTTGCAGATGAAGACGAGGGTGTTGTTCTCCTCGATCTTCTTCATGGCGGACTCGGTGTTGAGAGGGTGGATCAGAACCTTCTCAGCATCCATGCGAGGAGCATGGGGGACCGACTTGCGAGGGTACTTGGGGGCGCGGGACAGCTCGAGGGTCTTGGGGCTGCAGAAAAGTTATTAGCATGTGAATCTCGAAAATGTTTCTCTAGGGCATACCGGTGGAAGCTGGTGCTCTTCCTGATGGCGCGCTTCTTGTTCGCATACGACTGTCATCTCGTTAATTGTGTCCGTCACACGAGAAGTACAGCCCGTCAGAGGTATATTTCTGACACGACTCAAGAGGATCAGGGGAGGCTTACGCCCTTAAGGGCCGCTTTGGCAGCGGCATTGGCCTGCTTTCCGGTCTTGGTGGCGGCTGCAAACATTGTTAGCGATGAGCGCAAACTGAGGGGAACTGATCGAGGCGCATCTGCAAAGTTTCTTTGCAAAGGTCACGCTGCTGGAGTGCAGCCGTTACTTCGCAATGTGTACGTATGCGTGCTCGTTTCTCGATCTCGTGGCTGCGATGTAGGCGTGCACGTACTCTTGGATGCTGGCTTGGGTCCCATTTTGGCGGTGTTGGTGGTCCTGGAGGTTAGTGTCGAGAGTCGCAATTCATTTTTGCGGCGGATGGCATGTCGGGTGCGATGGCTCGGCTAGCTCGCGCTAGTGCTAGCGCCAGATGCTGCATCCCCAACTTTCGGCATGCCCTCACGCAAACCATGTGACTTGCGACGCAAACGCCATCATGGCTGTAAAAAAGCGCCAAAAGACTCTGTCGCATGGCCGGCCACCCATCAGCAAGCCGAAAGAGCGGATGACTTCAGAGCGATCACGGACCATCATTCGCACCCATCACCGTTTACAAAAGGAGCACGCAGCAGCCCTAAAGAAGGGTGACTTGTCGTCTGCAGAAGAGATTGCTCGAGCTATCGAAAAGAATGGAGGTATAAAAACATACCAGGCCGCAAGCAAACAAGGGCAGGCAAAAGACCGAGGTGGTGATTCGAGCAAGGTCCTGGTCGAATGGCTGCAAAAATCGCACGTGCTAGCTGCAAAAGAACGAGGTCATATCATTCACAAACTTCGATGCTTGGAGATCGGCGCTCTGTCAACGAAGAATGAGATCTCCAAGTACTCTAGTATCATAGAGATGACAAGGATCGACCTCAACAGCCAGGGACCGGGTATAGAGAAACAAGATTTTATGCAACGGCCACTTCCAACGGCTGACAGCGAACGTTTCGACATCATCTCCTTGTCGCTAGTACTCAACTACGTACCAGATGCCACTGGTAGAGGCCAAATGCTGAGGCGTATTACCAAGTTTCTGCGAAAGGGCACTGCAGAAGCGGATAATCCTCTGCTCGCACTACCAGCGCTCTTCTTCGTTCTACCACTTCCATGTGTCGACAACTCCCGCTATCTGGACGAGGGCCTACTTCTGAAAATCATGGGCCGCCTTGGTTTCACTATGACGTTCAGCAAGAAGACATCAAAGCTATGTTACTACATGTTCGTTTTGACAGGGGAGCCCACTAAGGCGACCACGGAAAAGAAGAAGATACGAGACGGCCCAGGCATGAATAACTTCTGTATCATCGTCGAATGAACATCAGGTGCTAGACAGCAAGGGATACAACATGCTAATACTGCAAAAGCGGAGACCATAGAGTACCATGCAAGTCGGTGTCGAATAGAAATCGAGAGCGACGAACACTTATAACTGGCGCCTCTATTTTCGCCTTGGCGCCACGCTGAATATACCATCAACATGTGGCGACTACACTGGGCATCACGGAAAATAATGCCGTTATCCTGCAAAGGGGGTATACTTGGTGGCCATAAAAGTACGTCCACGTGGACGTCGGGGATTGCTGATGTTCTGTTTGGATCAAATCTTATCCCACAAGAGGCACTGTCATCGGGATTTTCCGTGGTATCCTGGCTGTCTCAGAAACAAGCACGATTAACTCAACCTGCGCCACGCACCACATTGGGACGTTTGCAGCTGGCGAAGGGTTGTTTTGGTCTTTCTAACAGGCCCAACATCACAGCAGAGCAGAAGTTGTGCCGAGACCCGCTATGATATCCACCTACAAACATACATTTCAATATCCACCGGCAATGTGCGGTATTATTTGCAATGGGTCGGCTCTAGACCCGTCGGTAGTAACTCTGTATGCGGTTTCGTCGTTGCGCCGATAAAGTTCCGAATGCTGCTACAAGGTGTTCGCTGGGAACGCCTCGGTCCGCAGGCACGTCTTGTACCTGCATGACACCCGTACTGCATGCGCATGTACAGCGAACATGACTTTTTGCAACACTGCCGCGATGAACTGCAACAGCTTGCTCGTCGTTTTATGTGCTGAGAAGTTGGCTACCAAGGAAGGAATATGAAATTCTGCTCAATGTGTTGCCGCCTCGTTATCTCGCTGGTGTTTGATTTTCCTTTAGCGCATCCTTCATCCCAGCACCTCATCACCACGGCCCCCCAGTTACCATTGCGCCAAGCATTACTCAAGCCTTTTTCTGAAACAACCTTAGCTCGTCCAGATCCCAGACACCGGCTTCTCAGAGTATATTTCGGGCACGGGGGTAGCTTGCAAAGGGTACAATGCGCAGCTCGTGCGACAAGATTACCCGTCTTTGGCAGGTTGAACAAAGGAACATCAAACAGGAGATGAGCTTATTTCCAGTCGCTTCCGCGACCAAATCTCCACAAGGGAGTTTGTCCGAGCGCGTTGCCGCTGCCCTGTTCTCGTGAAATGAGGTGTCGGCCGGACGTGGGTGTTTATGTACCTGGGCGGGGGCACTCTCTGTTGGTCGAGTTTTCATTTATCTCGTCCGCCTCGTGGCAAAGCCAAACTCTAGTCATTCTTTCTGCTCCATCCAGTCACTCTTTTTCCAAGCCGCTGCGCTGCTGTCACTCATTACCTGAACTCGTTGATACGATTCATCACATTCCTTATCACCATTAAACTGTCGACTAGAAGTCAGACACGATGAAGTCCACCATCTTCTCCATCCTTCCCATTGCGGGCTTCGCTGCCGCCGAGTCGTATTGCTCTGTCCAGACTTACACCAAGACCGAGTACGAGACTGTGTATGAGACTGCTACAGCCGCAAAGGTTGCAGATGTCACGGCCACCGAGTCTAGCACCTGCTCAAGGCCTACCGTCACTGCCACCACCTATGAGAAGGTCTATGTCACTGTCACTGCACCTGGTTATGGTTCAATGCCCCCAAAGCCTTCGACCTCGACTAGCACCATCGAAGACTACGTTACTGTGACTGTCCGCCCAACAGGTTCGGAATGTGCTGCCACCCCATCCTCCGCTCCACTCGCATCTGTATCAGCCTCCCCTTCTGGAGCTCCCCTCCCAAGTTTCCAATTGGCGTCCAGTCTGCCAGGAAATGTCGTTTCTGAGAGCAAGACCCCAGTCGCGTACTCCACTGCTGCGCCGCCCACTGGCTCACCAGTCCCATATCCCTCCCCTGCCTCACCCATGGCCTCATCCACCGCCGCTGCCGCTAGTGCGGCCGCCTCCCCCATGGCCTCACCCAGCTCCTCTTCCGCAGGTTCCAAGCGCGGTGAAGCTACTTTCTATGGAGGTAACCTCGACGGCGGCATGTGCTCCTTGACAGGATACAAGCTCCCCAGTGGCATCTTCGGCACTGCGCTCACCGACTCTGATTGGGATTCCGCCAACGCTTGCGGTACCTGCGTTAGCGTCACTGGTCCTTCTGGCGACAAGATTACTGCCATGGTTGTCGATCAATGCCCTGGATGCGGTCCTCACCACCTCGACCTCTTCCCCGACGCTTTCAAGAAGCTCGCTGATCCCTCCAAGGGAATAATCGACGTCTCTTGGGAGGTTGTTCCTTGCGGCATCACCACCCCCATTATCCTCAAGAACAAGTCGGGTACCAGCGCTAACTGGTTCTCCATGCAAGTCATGAACTCCAACGTCGAGGTCACCTCTCTCGATGTCTCGACCGATGGTGGCAAGACCTGGAAGGGCACCAAGAGGCAGCCTTACAACTTCTTCGAGAACTCGGCTGGCTTCGGTACTGACTCCGTCGACGTCAAGATTACCAGCTCCGGCGGCCAATCTATCATCGTCCAAGGTGTCAGCGTTGCCTCTGGCACCACCAAGACTGGCACCAGCAACTTTGCTTAAGCGAGGGTACTTGCAGTGGGTGGATAGTTGGACCCAAAAGTTGAAGCAGCCTTTTCTCTTCACGATCGGATTTAGACGACCATTTTTGTGACATATATTCTTTTCTTTTACATTTAGCCACTTTTTTCTTGACTCAAAGCCTTGATTGGCATTTGGTCGTTATTTTCCATTCGTCAATTATATCTATTCTTCAGACTCACTTGGCCGTAAAACGCTTTGCTGGGTCAGCTTCATGAATGGAATTCTTATTTGCAATGTCTTGATTCCCGGTTTTCTTTCCCTAGTGCACCAAAAGATCAGACTTCAGAAGGCATTTGTTCAAGGAGAGGGCGTCAAACCCTGATATCCGCGATACCTGTACTTGTACCTGTATATCTAGCTACAACCAACGATCAACAGTCCTCAGACCAAACCAATCCAAGCCGAATTCAAAAAATCCAATACTCCACTCTCTTCCCTCCTTCCCTCACACCCACGCACACAAAACTCACCTACCAAACAATCAAACCCTCTCACCCCTTCCGCATCCCCAAACAAACACCGGACATTACTACAACCTCCACCACAAACATGCACTCCAACTCCAAAATTACCTATAAAACCCACATACTATACCTGTAAGCAAATCCCGGGACAACAAACACCAGCCCTGTACGTCATTTTCTTTTCTCCCGAAAAGGAAAATGTGGGCTATTCCGTGTTCCCCGCATTTCCCGTCCCTTCCCACTCTTTTTCCCATTCAACTCGCTTGTCTTTTTGACCTTACATATGGAGAACGCTACGCCAGCCTCGCGTCGCTCGAGGGCCACGATGTGCCTACAAAACTTCTTTTTTTGTAAACACGATGGTGTTCTCTCAAAAAATTTTGGGGGGTGGGGTGGGGATGAAGGGTGAGTTTATTGATAGGGCGAGAGGGGGGCGGGCGGCTGAGATCGGAAATTAGGGTCTTGTTGAGGGCGGGTACTAGGGGGCCAAAAGATGAATGCTGGACTGGGTCCCCTGTGCTGTTTAATATCGCGTACGGTGTTTAACAGGGCAGGTAGGGAAAGCGGGTTGGAAAGTATGGGTTAATTTGGTTATTGGGCGTTGTAGTGTCTGGGTGGAGAGTGTGGGGTTGCTTTTTTTGTATTTATGTCGCAGGAAGTATGGGGGGGAGAGAGAGAAGTAGAGAGTTGAGCATGTCAAAGTAGATGGTATGTTTCTTTTTTTTCTTTTTGTATGGAAAAGGGACACAGTGCATATGGCAATGTAGGGGTGTATGCAGTTGTTGGATAACTGCCTCTGTCACACCTCAGCGCAGCTACAGTTTGCCCGCCAATACTAGACGTGTCAGCTACACCGTACTTTGC